CTTAGATTTTCATTTTATTATTCTTCCAATTTTTCATTTTTTTAATTGGTCTATCTTTCACTTGTACGATCATTCATTTATTCGATTCTTATTTTCCAAGCTTTTTATTATTCGAATCTTGCACTTTTCATTTTTTATTATTCAAATCTTGCACTTTTCAATTTGTCAGTTTCTTAGATTTTCATTTTATCATTCTACCTATTTTTCATTTTTTTAATTGTTCTATATTTCATTCGTACGATTATTCATGTATTCGATTCTTATTTTACGAGCAATTTTACAATTTTACAAATTTTAAACTTTGCAATTGTTCAGTTTCTTATATTTTCATTTTATCATTTTTCCAATGTTTCACTTTTTAAATTGGTCTATCGTTTACTCGTACAGTTATTCATTTATTCCATTCTTCAATTCTTCAACTTCTTAATTTTACCATCTTCCAATTGTTCAACCCCACTATTTTTCAATGATGAGATCCCCGAAGTTAAGTTTCCGGCTCGCCGAATTGCCAAATATTGACCCGTCAGAAGTGATCTCTGAACGGAAGTGTACACAGCCGAATTTCTGTTCCAGTTGAGGGGAATTCGAACGTGAAGGAAAACAGCGTTCGCCACGTGGATTTTACGACACAGGAATCGAATCTTTCAGTCCACGCAAGTCTCCTTTCGTTATCGCGATTTGAACGGTTAGCCGATGGGCAACTGGCTCGACCCATGGAGGTACATTTTTTCCTTTAGTGCCGATCGTATAAATTACCGCTTTATATCCGTGGCTATTTTAAGCGATGCTCCAGATTTTGTACTTTATATAGTCTCGTAGAGGAATACATGAATAGCAAACAGCGTCAAATATTAAGAGATCATCGGCACTGACGTTTAACGGGCGAACAAGATGGGACATCGTTTAATTACACAAAGTGCTCCTGTATAGCGGCGTTTATTTAATGTTCCAGAAGAGATAGCTGTAGCGTGGAGAGGCTTATTCGTGGGAATACTAATGTAATTCCAGAAGAGCAGGCGATGTTTTATTACAACCATCTTTCTTACAACTTTCGTCTTGTTTGACAATAATGACGAATCTTATAGCGGGGTCAAGAACGACCGTTCATCTTTCTTAACCTCGATATATGACATTTCATAGCGCGATGCAAGATTAGTTAAATGTACAATGTCTGGCTATACAATGCGTGACAATTCAGTGATAAGAGGATTCAACGTGTTATGACATTGCTTGGATATTCAACGTGTGAAGGAATTAACATATGGCGATATAACGCGAGTCGATTCAATGTTATGTAGATTCAATGGGTTGTGGTATTACTCGTGGCGATATAATGTACTGTAATTCTAAGTGAGAAGAATTTAATGCGATGCGATATAATGCGCGGCAATATAACGTGTGGCAATATAACGCGAGACAACATAACGTGAGTAGATTCCACGCGTTGTGGTGTTACGCGTGGTGATGTTACGCGTTGTAATTCAAAATGTGAAGAATTCGGTGCGTTGCAATATAACGCGCGGCAATATAACGCGAGTGGATTCAACGCTATGTAGATTCAATGCATTGTGGTATTACTCGTGGCGATATAATGTACTGTAATTCTAAGTGAGAAGAATTTAATGCGATGCGATATAATGCGCGGCAATATAACGTGTGGCAATATAACGCGAGACAACATAACGTGAGTAGATTCCACGCGTTGTGGTGTTACGCGTGGTGATGTTACGCGTTGTAATTCAAAATGTGAAGAATTCGGTGCGTTGCAATATAACGCGCGGCAATATAACGCGAGTGGATTCAACGCTATGTAGATTCAATGCATTGTGGTATTACTCGTGGCGATATAACGCATTGTAATTCAAAGTGTGAAGAATTCAACGCGATGCAATGTAATGCGTGGCAATATAACGCGTGGCAATATAACGCGAGACAACATAACGTGAGTAAATTCAACGCGTTGTGATGTTACGCGTGGCGATATAACACGTTGTAATTCGAAATGTGAAGAATTCGGTGGGTTGCAATATAACGCGCGGCAATATAACGCGAGTGGATTCAACGCTATGTAGATTCAATGCATTGTGGTATTACTCGTGGCGATATAACGCATTGTAATTCAACGCTTGGTGATATAACTTACCATAAGTGGTAATATATCGAGTGGCGATATAACGAGTGACAATTCCACGCGTAGCAATTTTTACACGTGGCGATATAGCGCGTGACAAATCCACGTGTAGCAATTTTTACGCTTAGTGATATAACGCGTGGCGATATAACGCGTGGTAATATAACGCGTGGCAATATAACGCGAGACAACATAACGTGAGTAAAGTCAACGCGTTGTGATGTTACGCGTGGCGATATAACACGTTGTAATTCAAAATGTGAAGAATTCGACGCGTTGCAATATAACGCGCGGCAATATAACGCGAGTGGATTCAACGCTATGTAGATTCAATGCATTGTGGTATTACTCGTGGCGATATAACGCATTGTAATTCAAAGTGTGAAGAATTCAACGCGATGCAATGTAATGCGTGGCAATATAACGCGTGGCAATATAACGCGAGACAACATAACGTGAGTAAATATAACGCGTGAAAACTCCACGCGTGGCAATATAACGCGTGGCTATATAACACGCGAAAATTCCACGCGTTGCAATATAACGCGTGGCAAAAAATGTGAAGAATTCGACGCGTTGCAATATAACGCGCGGCAATATAACGCGAGTCGATTCAACGCTATATAGTGTTACGCGTAGCGATGTAACGCGTACAATGCATTGTGGTATTATGCGTGGCGATATAACGCATTGTAATTTAAGACGTGAAGAATTCAACGCGTTGCAATATAGCGCGCGGCAGTATAACGCATGGCGATATAACACGAGTAGTGTCAACGCATAGTAGTACCACGTGTGGCGACATAGCGTAAAGGTTTCAACGCATGGCAATATAACGCGAGTCGATTCGAGTGGTCATATAACGAGTGGCAATATAACGCGAGGAATGTCGAACGCGTAATAGAACACTTGACGATTTAACACGAGGAGTATTCAACGGGTGATAATACAATGTACGGCGATAAAACGAAGGTTCCAATATGGCAATATATTGCGAGGCAACAATTAGTGATCCAACATACAGAATTCTATATACAATGCATATAACACACAGTAAATTCAAACATCACAATTGAACCACTTTCCTACATATCTGTGATGTTTTCGCCGAGTTTTTCACCGAGGGATTACAAAGAGGATAAAAGAGACTGAAAATTTTCAAATGTAGCAGGAGATAAAAGAGAAAACTTGAAAATACAGAAAAAAGCAGATAAAGAAGCGGAAGGGACAAACAGTGAAAAGGCAAACGGGGAAGGAGTTTTAAAAATTGTTCGATTCGCACTGGACTCCGGAAAAGCTATTATTCTACGCCCGTTGTTCGTACGTATACCTCCTATTTTCCGGGGCAAAGTAAGAAATTTCCTGAAAACGTCTGACGAGCCATTAAGGTTTTGTAGGTCGCCGTGATTCTCTTATCATCGCGAGTCCACATCGATTTTTACGAGCGGATATCCTCGTAAATACCACGAGGAAAAGTTATTGTTCTCGCGGACAACGAACGCGAACACGGTAATACATGGCAAGGATCGCCTTAGCCCCAAAACCCTTTATATGTGTCGTAATTACGGGAAACAGCTGCCGTCGGTCTTTCATTTATTCTTGATTCTCCTGTCGCTGTACGATGCTCGTTAACCAAGGAGCAACGATCTCGTTAAAAATGCCCAATAGAAATTCTTTTGTGTTTCGCTCGCCTGACAAGTTAGCAAAATTTATGGCCAGATAAAAGAATTATACGCTGTCTTTGAAGTAGACTAAAGAAAACGCGAAAATATACGTATCTCGTAAAAGATAGAAATAGTTTATTCATCGGTAATAAAAGATTTCTTTTGAACGTATCGAAATTGATAGGTCAATCATAAAAACCCGAACGTCACGTTTCGATATTACGGAATTATGCGAGCGGTTTAACAATCGGCTTTACGGCGACAGGAAGTCGTCGAAAAGGGTCGCGGTTTAATTAATCGCTTCAGGAGCTTGCGTTGCACAAAGTCGCGATCTGGAAAACAAGAGAAGTAGCAGACAACGCCGCGTTGTTCGTGTAGTAAACTGTACGGCGGTGGAAGCGTGTTGTTTAACGAGATGAACGCGTTGTTGTTAACTGGCGCAAACCGCGGACAGACTGCCCGCAGATATCCTCTTTCCTATTTCAAATTTGTAAATGTTTGCCAATGTCCGAAATTCTGGAAATTTGGGAAGCTTAGAAATTTGATAATAAAAATGTATAGAATTATAGAAGTTTTAGATGGTAATAATTTGAAAGTATATCGTGTTCTGAAAAATTTCCATCGAAGTAAAGAAACTGACAGCGTAAATAAAAAACGAAGGAACTGATTGAATTACTGTGAAATTGCGCTTCATTTGAGGAGGTCGTAAAAAAACTGTGATTTTGTAATTCTTTCCTCGACGAGGAGTTATTTTCGCGCATATTTCTGTCACGAAAATGATGTACAGCGAGGGCGAACGAGAAAAAGGCGGGATGGCAAGAGAGAAAAAAGGGTTAAAGATCGGTGAAACGCAAAGAAAAAAGGCGTGACATGCATCGGCTGTAACAAGAAAGAGAGAAAAAGAAGCGGTAGAAACGAAAAGCGACGATGTAATGAGTCGATGCGTCGATTTTTCTTGTTCATTTATTTTCTCACCTCGTGCAAAGTGCCGCTGCCACCCACGCCAACAGGCAAAGGAACGTGGCTCTGGCCTTCGTGCACACGTATCTGGAAAGAAGGAAAAAAAAGAGAATAGAAATCGATCGGTCATCGAACAACCTTTCGCGAACAGATTCGCGCGGAATCGTGACTGACATTTCGAATCGGCCTAACGAAACACGGATCTAATACCAATCGACGATGCCAGAAAAGCGGTAACAATAGAACGAAGGATAATCGTGGAGAAATCGCGTACAGGGATTCGATAAACGAGTCGTGACCGAAATGGAGACGATTCTTACGCGTGTTTTATGTTGAGAGGCTATTTTATCTTGTAACGAATTGTTGACAATTTTATATGGCGTACTTTGATGTAGGGTACTTTATAAGGCGCACTTTGATGTAGGGTAACTTAGTAAGAAATATCTTTTCGCAACCTTTTACACTTTTCAATTTTTAATGTCAGAATATTAGCATTTTTAGATTTTCATAATATCGTATTTGTCTACATCAAGTTCTTAGATTATAAACTTTCTGGTTTGTCAAATTTTTAGATCTGAATCTTTACAGCGCGTAGGTCATTGACATCCCTAAATCACATGTTCTTCAAGTAGTCTGTATCCTTGAATTTCTATGTTCTCGAATTAGTAGACCTTTAAAATTTTTAGACCTCCAAATTCCTTGAACCTCTTGAATAAAAGTCCTTGAATCTCTAAGTCCATAAATGCCAAAAGCCTTGAACTTCTAGGTCCCCAAACTGCAAAGTCCTTGAACCTCTAACACCCCATATTTAAAGGTCCTTAAATCTGTAGGTCCTCAAATTCCAAAAGCCTTAAATCTCTAGGTGTCCCACTTCTAGGTTTTCAAATTTCTAACATGTTAATTTTTCACACATTGCTTACCCTGCTCGTAAAGGTTCACAAATGGCGTAATATCGCTCGAAACTGATCGCCAGGATCGTAAGAACCGATGCATGGGCCACGGTCAACTCGACGAACGGCACTGCCTTACCTAAATCGAAGAAATTGAAGAATTAAAAACATGTGTAATTGCATAATTTCAGTACGTTGACCGCCACAGTAAAAGCTGACATTTATGGCCAGACACTTTAAAGTAAAAACCCTCTAAAGTTGGCTTTCCTGTAAATAAATAATTTATCTGAATTTGTATTGTTGGTCACATATGATCATGGCGGTCAACGTATGAATGTAAGATGTAATGTTCATAAAAATTTAGGTCAACGTATAAATAAATATAAAATACACGTAATGTTCATAAAAATTCGATTCTCCGAAACAAATAAAAGCTATAATAGTCTGCAATAAATAAAGTTGACGAGTCTGATCACGGACTAGCACATTCTACTGAAATTTTGATCAGACCACCCTGATTCTTGTACCACTTATTCTTGTACTTATTCTTGTATAAAAATGAATATTTTTCATAAACTACTTTGATCAAATTTTCCCAATTATAAATAAAATTAATACAACTGAATATAACTGGCAAGGGGTCAACGTTAATTAATTAGTGAACAAAATGCATCGAATATTCAACGTTGATTAAACAATCCAAAAATCGACGTTCAAAAGTTTAATCGTCTCTTACAGATTCATATTTACTTACAGTCGAATAAATACTCAATCGCAACGCGAGATCGACCCGATTAATTTTAATAATAAAGTTTAACATTAATTGGTCGATCAGGGAGAAAATTAATTAAATCGATACGTATTTCCAAACATTTATGTAACGCATGCACACTCTTTCTTTTGCGAAATCTAAACAAAAGAAAGCAATTTATGATTCCCAGAAGGAAGTTCCAGTAATGCTCAGGATGTCGTAATAAAGTTGCACAATGCTCTCGTCAGTATTATTTTCCTTGTAACTTTTCACGTTACTTTTCAGGACAACAGATAATTTCCACTACGATTTTCTTCAAGAACATATCGGCTTTCTTTTATGTACTTCTTTTATTTATTCAGAAGTGTAGGAGTGTTGAGGTACGCAAAGATGGCGGTCGACTCTGATTGGCTGGAAAGCAGTTAATCTTTTCAAATAGACATTGATGTATTTTCTGAGTGTTGTGATTGTTTAAATAGTAAAGAAATGTGTAAATAAAGAGACTGTATGTCAAATTTTATTTATTCGTAAGTATAGCAGGCTGCAGCGTTCAGGTACGAAAAGATGGCAGTCGACTCTGATTGGCTACGAAGCAGCTAACCTTCTCAAACAGACATAGACGCATTTTCTTAGTATCATGCTTATTTAAATAGTAAAGAAATGTGTAAATAAAGAGACTGTATGTCAAATTTCATTTATTAGTAAGTATAGCAGTATCCAGCGTTCAGGTACAGAAAGATGGCAGTCAACTCTGATTGGCTACAAAGCAGCTACCCTTTTCAAACAGTCATAGACGCATTTTCTTAGTATCATGCTTATTTAAATAGTAAAGAAATGTGTAAATAAAGAATGTAACCATAAATCACAACAATTTATATGTTTCTTGCTTGTACATCTTCTGCTTGTATGTCTTTATGCTTGTAACATGAAGAACTATTTCGGTGGCGTTCACCGTAGCAGATTTCCGAGTCGATCTAACTTTGGACGAGAGAATCAAGAGAAAGTGTCCAATAATAGTGCTACTAAAGATTCCAGGGGTTCTCTGAACATATAAGCTTCGAAGAATTATGAGGCATCGGAAGCGTTCATCCACTCGAACTTCAACAAACATCTGCCATCTTGTTCGTTGTTCCCGCGAACGTCATCTATCACTCCACTTTCCCCGGCTCTCGAAACACGTTTAGTTTCACAGAGAATTTGAAAAAAAACGCGAACAGAGAGATTCGTTGATCGCATTTCGACGGTATTCTAGCGCGTCGAATCGATGAATGCGCAACAGTGTTTGATTTCATTCGACTTTTTATTCGTTTCCGAGCGAGAAAATTCAGAAATACTCAACGAAATGTTTGCTCGTTGACGACCATCCGGCCGGAAGATTATTTCCACGATCGATTATCTCCGGCGCCAGCGGAACATACGTTATTCTGGAGAGTTTATCAGTGAAACGATGGACACTGCGAAATTTTCTGGGGAGGACCTTTCGACTGGAAATCGTCTCGTAATCCTGCAAGTGAAGGTTCTTCATTTGATTAGTAAGGTTCTTAGGTGGTATTATTTTAGAAGGATTTTGGGGAGAATCTACAAATTTATAACTTTGTTATTATTATTAAATTTAGTGGCGTATAATCTTAATCTGGCAATTTTGCAAATTTTTATATTTTTTAATTTTCAAATTTCTAAATTCCCACATTTCTAGACAGATAAAATAAAAATAAAACTAGTAAAATTTAGTAAAAATAAAATTTTGAAAAATTTAAGGAGGATAATCTTAGGTCTAAGAAAATGTGGAATTAATTGAGGGAGATTTTAGATAAGTATCGAACATTAAGACTTTCTCCCTCTTGCGTGTTTGAATTAAGACGGTAATTAAAAGATTTTTATTAATTCTTCATTCACGGATATACGAGACGGTGGGTTATAGTAAACGAACCGTAATTACGCGAACAGGATGGATCGCCGTAATTAGCGAGTACGATATTTGCAATCGGCGAGCTACGATCGTCGAGTAATGAATCAGAAATATTGACCCACAATTATTGGTACATGCAAATACAACGCCAACGCGTTATTTACATATCGCCGTTATTAGCGATCGATATTTTCATTCATTGGTTAATTTCACTCATCCTTGCAGATTTTGGTATTTAAGAAGTTTAGGTAATTTTAGAAATTTACTTGGACTGGTCCAAAATCAAAATCCTAATCGAAGGCCATAAATGTCAGTCTTAAAATCTAAATCCTACAATCTAAGTCCTAATCGAAGTCCAAACATGTAAGTCTTAAAATCTAAATCCTAATCGAAGTCCAAACATGTAAGTCTTAAAATCTAAATCCTAAAATCCAGGTTATAATCGAAGTCCAACAATTTAAGTCCTAAAATCTAAATCGTAAAATCGAAGTTATAAAATGTAAGTCTTAATACCTAAATCCTAATATCTAAGTCCTAACCGAACTCTAAAAATCTAACTTCTAAAATCTAAATCCTAAAATCTAAGTCCTAATCGAAGTCCCAAAATCTAAATCCTAAAATCTACGTCCTAATCGAAGTCCAAAAATCTAACTTCTAAAATTTAAATCTTAAAATCTAAGTCCTAACCAAAGTCCAAAAATCTAAATCCTAAAATCTAAGTCCTAACCAAAGTTCAAAAATCTAACTTCTAAAATCTGAATCCTAACCAAAGTCCAAAAATCTAACTTCTAAAATTTAAATCTTAAAATCTAAGTCCTAACCAAAGTCCAAAAATCTAAATCCTAAGATCTAAGTCCTAACCAAAGTCCAAAAATCTAACTTCTAAAATCTGAATCCTAACCAAAGTCTAAAAATTTAATTTCTAAAATCTGAATCCTAACCAAAGTCCAAAAATCTAACTTCTAAAATCTAAGACCTAACCAAAGTCCAAAAATCTAATTTCTAAAATCTGAATCCTAAAATCTAAGTCCTAATCGAAGTCCCAAAATCTAAATCCTAAAATCTACGTCCTAACCGAAGTCTAAAAATCTAAATCCTAAAATCTAAGTCCTCCTCTAAGTCCAAAACTCTAAACCCTAAAATCTAAGGCCTCCTCTAAGTCCAAAAATCTAAAAATTTGTAACAATAAAAAAATTCCACCATAAAATATCCTCCAATTACAGTTTCGTACAGGAAGTAGCCATAAATCGTGACAGAATTTTCCGACGAAGCATCTCGTCCAAAGTATATCAGATGCGTTGGGGTGATAATCAAAAATACGGCCAGCCTCGTAAGCCACGCAGTCTTATCGGTCTACAGAACGGTCTACAAATTTCTAGGAGCAAAATAACAACGTTCTTCTCGTTAACGAGGTTTGATAAGAATTTCATTGTGGCCGGGCTAAAAAAGAGTCTCCGCTGCAAATTCAGACAAATTGCATCATACTGGTTGGATAGAATTTAATGAGGCCTCGCTTCGTTCACTTTCAACGGACATAAAGATGTACGAGTTGGCACGAACGTTTAGAGCTACGCCAATTTTATGCTGGATTATTTAAGGGTACAAATAATCGAGTTATTCTGCTGGAGGGATTCAACACCCATGGGAATCGTTTACTTTGATTAATGCGAGAATTTCGAACAATTAAGTTTTTATTTGTTGGAGGGAAAGTTCAGATTGGGGGATAATTTTGTTCTGATAGGAAGGGAATGGTGGAATGATGCGTAATTTCTCGGTTGTCAAATTTAAAGTTGGGGGCGTTCTAGGGTTTCAAGTTTAAGGGGTTTAAGTGTAGGAAGTTTTGACGCAATGGAATTTGCAAGTTTCTGTGTCTTTACGTTACTGGATTCTCAAGTTTTCGAATTCCATAATTTTCTAGTCTTCAAGTTTCCAAATTTTTAAATGTTTAGGTCTCCAAGTTTTCAAACTCCAAATACTCCAAATTGTCATACTTCCAAATCTACAAGTTTGCAAATATCTAAATGTCTCAAATTCTCGAGTACCCAACTTCTTACACTTCCAAATCTCTAGATCTCAAACCTGCCAATTCAGAATTCCCAAATTTTCCAAATTTCCAATCCCTCGATCATCCGAATTTCCCAAACTTCCAATCCCTCAATCATCCGAATTTCCCAAATTTCCAATCCCTCGATCATCCAAATCTCTCAAACTTCCAATCCCTCGATCATCCGAATTTCCCAAATTTCCAATCCCTCGATCATCCGAATCTCCCAAATTTCCAATCCCTCGATCATCCGAATTTCCCAAATTTCCAATCCCTCGATCATCCGAATCTCCCAAATTTCCAATCCCTCGATCATCCAAATCTCCCAAACTTCCAATCCCTCGATCATCCGAATCTTCCAAATTTCCAATCCCTCGATCATCCAAATCTCCCAAACTTCCAATCCCTCGATCACCCAAATCTCCCAAACTTCCA